TGCAGCAGCTGCTGGCCGCAGCTGCTGCTTGCGGCCGCGGCCGCCGCTGCGCGAGCCGCCCTCGCCTCCGCACAGCCGCAGGGCGGGGGCCCGCTCGCCCGCGTCCGCGTCTTCGGAGCCGCTCTCCGAGTTCGCCCGCGAGGCCCCGCGCGCCCCCGGCAGCCGCAGGCCTACTGCCACTCGGATTTGCCAGCAGCGCTGCAGGCTGAACTTGGGGTCGCACAGAAGCGCCGTCCGCAGGCTTTCGAGCTGCGGCACCTCCACGCGGAAGTGCTGAGCCGACTCGGGGGAGAACTCCGCGGAAAACTGACACGCGCTCCGCAGCGGCCTCCCGCAGCTCCGGCTGTACTGCCCCGCAGCGCTCCCGACTGCTTCTACGCCAGTGGCTTCCCACGCCGACGCGCCCGGACCGCTTGTAAGGGCCAGCTCCAACTCCTCCCACGCGTGCGTCGGGCAAAGCACGTTCACGCGCTTTCCAGAAGGCGAGCCGATCAAGGGGAAAAGCCGGTGCGCAATTATTGCTTCCAAGGACGCCGTTACCCACTCGGTCATCAAGTATTCAAGTTGCCTCGGGGATATCATCTCGCGGCTTCCTAACCCACGCGTACGGGCTTCAGTCAGCCTTCAGACACTTCTTATTCAGATTTTTCATTCCTGGCCATCAGAAATTCCCTTCGTACGAGTGCAGAAGACCCACGGAAACTCGCGAAATGCTTGCTGGACTGCATGCAGTCCTCCCCAGAGAGGCTTGGTGGCGCCTTCTTGTACGCCCCTACGAGATACTTGTGCGCTTCTCCACTATATCAGTCACGTCTGCTCAGTAATCAAAGTTCTTGCAAAAATAATGTATTTGAAGGGGTTTCAGGCAATCTCTTATCTACTTTCCCCGCAGATCACCCCTCATCAGAGGCGCCAAACAACTAGACCATTGGACCACTGAGCAACAACGGCCAGAACGCTAGTGGGAAACTCTGCACCAGAGAAATACTGAAATAATGCAGCTTTAGATATAGGTGCATAAGTAGCGAAGTAAGTGGATTATTCTAGGAGTGGCTGAGACTGTACAACAGACAAGTCTAGTGACGCGTCCGCGCGGGGACCGCCGGTAGGGAAACTTGAGCGAATAGGTGTGGTGGAAATGTTTTCGAACTAGAAAGCTGCCTAAACTGAGGCGTTTCACTGTTAGATGCAGTTTTCTGAACAGTTTTCCGGGACATGATGGCAGAGCCGCGGACGCGTGGTGTAGGCGGACGTGCGGAGCGCGAGTGGCGGGGTGTCAAGACACCGCAGAGCGCAGAGGCTCATCCGGCGATCACTATTTGCTGAACAGATAAATCTACAGCAAAGGGAGTACGTGAGTGTCCACTGAAGACATCGTTATAGGTAGGCGACTTTGGCCCAGGCCATGAGCATTCGCAATGCTCACATTTGCAAGTTCAGTTCAAGTTCGCGAGCCGCCGCCACTGCGTTGCACACTGCCTCCACGCAAGCCACGCGAAGATGCTGGACGCTTCAAGAAGCACCCTCGACAAGTTCACGTCGCAGAACCCGCAGCAGATCATGGAGGGGCTGTCGGACCTGGCGAGCAAGTCGCGGGACGAGTTGTCGGCGCGGTTCGTGGCGCTGCAAGCCACGGTGGAGTCGTACTCCAAAGTGGACATCACGAACCACGTAGTGTCGCACGTGGTCGACAGCGTGCGGCCCAAGAACCTGGCGGAGTCGCTGAGCGAAGGCAGCTCGAGCATCCAGGAGACAGTCGCGGGCTACACCAAGTCCGTGAAGGACATGCTGCCGATGGACCGCATCTACGAGCTGCTCGCCTCCACCTTCGACGTCTCCGCCAAGCTGGACCAGCTCAAGGCCATTCGCATTCAAGACATTTCCCCCGGCAAGACCATCCAGGACCTCACCGAGTTCAGCGACCTCTCCGGCGCCTACGAAACGCTGCGCCAGCGCGTCCGCTCCGTCCTCGAGCCCGTCGTCCACGCCGTTGCCTCCATGGAGCTCAACCAGAAGTTCACTGACTTCACCCAGCGCTTCTGAGCCGGCGCACCCTCCCCGCCGCGCGCGCTGCTGTGTGCTCCAGCCTCCGCCGCAGCGCACTCGCCCCAGGCGCCGCCCTTTCGCGCCAACCCGCGAAAATAACTCCACCCACAACCGCCGCCGTAAGGCTCTAGCCTTCGGCATGTTGACCCGTCGCCTTGGCCTCGGGAAAACCCTGGTCAAAGCAACCCTTCTTCTTTTCACGAGCCACTTGCATTTGTGTTCGTTGCTCTTTGCCTGCACTGCGCACCGCACTCCTGTCTACCCAATGTCGACTTGCCTTTCAGTAAACGCTCCGTAGCGTGCCAAGTGGCCGTAACCAAATCCATTAAACATCTTCCAAACATGGATAGTTCATCGTGAGAGGTGAGCCAACTTGAAGGCCCCAGGATCTGTTTCTTCACCGGGCGCTAATTCTTATAGTTTATCATTCTGTTTTCCTCCCGCTGCACGAGAAACGTTTACCGAATCTCTCTGATAGGCCGTCGTGTGAAAATATGTTCAGTAAATTCAATATCTCCCTAGCGTTCGCAGTGCACATACAACGGATCAACGCTTATTTGGAAGTGAATCCAGTTCTAACTGCATCCACCGAACACCGTTACTGCACGCCCTGAAAGTTGCGCAGCTTATATGTAATTTGATTGAACACTAGGTCGCGGGGTTGGTTGCAGGGTTTATGTGATTCAAAGTGCGTGACTGTAGAACGTGTGGGTTCCTTCCTTGCTTTTAGAGTGAGGCATGGGAAGAATGGCTTATCGTGTAGTGTGCAGAGGAATCCAAAACACGGAGTGTAGATTCCAAGGGCAACTTTGTGGCTTCCCTCCAAGTACGCCATTTATGAATTATGTATTCTGTATCCCACTCATTCCATGAACTATAAACCTCGGTTTCTTCATAAGCAAGCCTGCCGTTTGTTCTGCTGGCTAATTGATGATTCGTGGCGGCTTTCTTCCAATGACCTCCGAAATTACCGATGCTGAAGCAGGTCAGTTAGGGGAAACGTCCGCAGAAAAATATCATCTGACGCTCTGGCATTACTGTGGGAGGAAGAACTGGCACCTTGCAAACTATAAATACACATACATGTATCCATATATACATTGTATCCAGTGTTCCAGTGCGCGCTTTCTAGAAGAAGAGTTCTCATGCTGAACTGACACCGTTTCTAAACCTTTCCAGTGTCCGTTGCGTTAGTTAGTGAGCTCTGAACTTGAAACTGCAACGCAGAGTTACTTTAACGCGCACATGTGTCTGTTGCGCTCTGCAATGCTCTGCGGGAGACAAGCGGAGGATTTGGCAATCGTGTAGCCCGTTACTGTTTCTAGTGTGTGGTAATGTAGAATGTCTCGACGGAATATGCTGTTGCAGCATTCGCAGCAGCGGCGGCTTTGCGTGTCGTTTTAGCACGGATCCGCCTGTGAGTGCGTTTAGGGATGTGTTCAACCGGAGGCAGAATTGGGGGAACACGTGAGGGGGAAATAGTGCGGCTGTTCATGTTTGGTGGTAGCTCTCTTAGGCTGCAGCAGAAGGAGCAGCAGCAGCCTCTATTTTGTCGGGACGCGGCTGGAATAAGAGGCGGCAACGTGAAGATGAGGTGGAACAGCAGCAGCAGGAAACGCAGCAGCGCGCCAGAGGATGGCCCCGAGATCCAGCGCTGCTGAGCTGCTTGGGCTGCTCTTCTTCGTTAAAATGTCTTTCCTATTTGCCGGTTTCCCAGTTGGCAAATTTGCAGCCAAAGAGAAGGCGCGGGAGCAGCTTTCGGCTTCGCAGCAAGAGGCCATCGGGCGGGCGTGCACTTCGCGGCGGCTGCTGTGTCGGGCTGCGCGCCCCGGTGCTGCAGCGGGAAATGGGAAGACAAAGGGCCCCAATTTGGAAAAGGCGTTCCTTTTGAGTGCAGTTCACTTTTCACCTCGAACGGACGTGGAGCCGCACGAGGAGCGCGAAGCTGGCCCCGGTGCGGGGGAACCGCGGGCGAGCGCCGCCGCACTCGGTCGTCAGGAATGCAGTTCCGCAGGGAAAAGAGGGGCGGAAAGGGGTGAGTGCGGGCGTGTGCGTCTGTTGCGGGTGCAGCGCAGGGCCGAAGCCGCGGCTGCGGAGCGCGGCGGCTGGGCAGCGGCGCAGGGCGGGTAGTGGCGCGCAGCAGCCGAGGCGCATGCGCGCATGCACGCGCATGCACGCGGACGCGCGCGGACGCGGGCAGGTCCGGGAGGCGAGGCCGCGGCGAAAGCGTTTTGCTGCAGGTTCGTTTCGCGCGCCGCCGAGAATGTCCGCCGCGCTTGCGTCGCGCGTCCTCCGCAGCGCCTTCCGGCGCCGCCCGGCGGCGCCCCCCCCCCCGCCCGG